TTCATGTAGGTAGCTTTGTCACTGCCTGTCTTTGAGTTTTTCACCTTCAGACTTGTTGCTTGACACCCGCTCTCTGTGCATGAATAAATCAGATGAGCGAAAGATTATCATCTTTTGATCAGCTATCGCACTGACATCGACTCCGACACTAAATTAATGTTTTATTTTGTATATGTGACGAAAAACGATATTCAAATGTACGGTCTAACTCGCTTGCCAAGAAATGTCATCTGGTGGCTTCGCATGAACTGTAATGTGGAATATCTTTAGATCTGATTGCAGTTTGATCTGGAATGTGGTTGTGTGATGCATGTTTCCCAGGTTCGGCATCAAGCGCTACAGGGATAGTTCATGTAAAAATGAACTTTCTGTCATCTGTTATTCACCATCATGTCACATGACTTGCTTTCTTCTTTGGAAAGCAACAAAGAAAAAAAGATGCTTTGAAAAATGTTTGAAAAACTTTTTATCCGACCAATGAAAGTCCAGAAATACTGAAGATACTGGGACATTTTTCAACATGTATTTCGCAAAAGAAAAAAGTCCTACGTGTTTGGAATGACATAAAGATGAGTAAACTATTTTTTTTTATTTTTGGGTGAACTCTTAAGTTGTTGAAGGGCTATTTAGACTGGGGATAAATTAATGTTTTTTTTTTTCTAAAATAGCAGCAGGTATAAATTTGTTTCTGTGATGAATATTGATCTAAAATAACACTACTATTCAAAAGTTTGGGGTCAGTAAGAATTTTTTTATTTTTCTAAGAAAATAATAATTTTATTTAGCAATATTCAGATCCGTTAAATCGATTAAAAGTGACAGTAAAGAAGTTTATAATGTTACTTAATTTTACGATTTTTAAAATGCTTTTTTATATAGAGATTGTGCTCACACAAAGCAATTTATAGCTGATTATATTATATTATATGTTAAAAATGGATATTTACTGTAAGACCTTCAGTGAAACATTTATACTGACTACAGATGTTTTAATTAATGCTTTAAGAATTTATTTTTAAAATTGACTTTTCCTGGACTGGAAATCACAATTTCAATTTCTTTTTTTTACCCTGAAAAAAAATTATACATTTATTCAGCAAAGATCCATTAAATTACCGTAAAAACATTTATAGTGTTACAAAAGTTTTATATTTCAAATAAATTGTTCTTTTGAACTTTTCATTCTTCAAAGAATCCTGAAAAAAATGTGTAACCGTTTCTATAAAAATATTAACCAGCACAACTGTTTTCAAAATTCCTAATAAGAAGAAATGACTCTTGTACTGCAAATAAGCATATTACAATGATTTCTGAAGGATCATGTGACACTGATAACTGTAATGATACTGAAAAATCAGGAATAAATTATATTTTAAAATATAAAGCAGTTATTTTAAACTGTAATAATATTTCACAATATTACTGTTTTTACTGTATTTTTGATCAAATAAATGCAGCCTTGGTGAGCATAAGAGACTAAATCTAAAGCTTCAAAACTCCAAATGTTTGACCGGTAGTGAACATTCCCAGCCGTCTTTCTCTTTAGTGTTGTTGTGTGTTAGCGTGCGACTGCATGTGTGTGTGCAGTTAAATGAGTTTGAGTACTCAGGTTGGTGTATATTCATACAGCTGTGGTCGTGTCCCATCGTTACATCTGTTCGTCCCGCTCACCCGCTATTCACAAACCAGAACAAAGCCGTGTGAGCTGTGCAGCGACCCCGTACTCAGCAGGCCGAAGACAAACTGCCTGCCAGCGTGCTGATATTATCCCTCTCCTGCATCCAGGGGCGGCAGCATGTGGAATCCTTTCATTCCGAACTGTCTTGAATACGATAATCTGGGGAAATCACAGCAAACAGGTATTTCTCCACTTAAACACACGACAGGGATGCGGCCCCCCTTCCCCCTGCACCATACGGGGCCACCGGCCCTCCTCGCACACTCTGTGCCAGCTGCATGTGACATGTGTTAATTTTGCATTTGCGTGGATTCTTTGAGCTATTATGCTACATTGGCGCTCAGGAGGGGCCTAAGATGCCCATGTCACTTTTGATTGAGCAAATCCATATTTCTCTACTATAACTCAAAACCATGATTAATCAGTTAGTTTGGCTTTTTTTCTTTTTGATGTAAATCATTTTACATGTACTGTAATATATTCAGCTCTGGTGATTAGGGTATATGATGTCTGTCCAATATATGCAGATTATGTAACTCCACATTCATGTGCCATCTCTCTTATGGAAAGTCCTGCTAAAACCACCTTAGTTGCTGGTTTTATTGCTGGTCCAAGCTGGTCCTTTATAGTTATTAGCTGGTCCAAGGTGGTCTTAAAGATGATGGATTTGGTCTAAATGTTACATCATCATCTCTAGATTATTACAGGGTTTCCACAGTCATTGAAAACCTGGAAATGTCAGGAAATATGTAATTTCAACAAAAAAAAACGTAATTAAATCTTAATTAAAATGTCCATAATAAGTGTTCATAAGTGTTCAGTTTTAATATATATATATCAGGGATGGGCAACTTTGATAGTGACGAGGGCCAGCATTTTTTCTCCTTTATACCAAGGGGCCAGATTACTAATCCACGTCCACACACCTTTTACACCGTTTTACTCAATTTCCTTTTTATTGAAGGGAATTAAAGTATAACTAATGTAATTAGGACATTCTCAAAACAACCTAAAAGGACAGTTAAAAAGGGCTTAATTTAAAAAAAAATTGTATTCTAAATGGTACCATAAAATAACCCTCTGGCGTCCCCGTTGTTTGTGAGCAGTGGTGTGATGGCGATTTAAATAAAATACAGATTTCCAAACAATCCAAACATATGGGTATCCCCTTGAACTTGGTAAAAAGATAATCGGTTTACCATCTTGACTTGAAAATACTGTTTTCATGGTCAGTTGTTCATTTATTATTTGCTAATGTTAATGAATGTTTACATTAGAGTGCACGTCCTACGCTGAAATTAATAGGCGAGTCTAATATGATCCAGCGGGCCGGACTAAAAGACACTGCAGGCCGTATACGCCAGTTGCCCATCCCTGATATATATAATCAGCTATAAATAACTTTTATTAAAATTAAAAAATAAAATAAATAATAATAATAAAACTATAAATAAATGAAAGTTGTATATAAAGAATTATAATAATAATATAATTTTTTTATTTTATTTTATTATGTTTCAAACTTTGGGCTTGTCTGAGACTAGTCAGTTAGTGGGAGCTATTTAGTTTTATCTCCAGTAAAATGTAAAGATTTACATCATAAAAATGATACCTGGCTCTAGGGCTGCACAATTAATCGAATTTCTATTCGCAATTACAATTATGGATGCCACAATTACGTAATCGTTCAAAGTCCACTTATGTTATTCTGCACGCTTACGATATGTTTTTTTTTCTTTCTACATGTTATCTGAAAGGTTTTTCCATCGTTTTAGTTTTAGTATAACATTATGATACCATTCATATTTTTACTTTTTTTATCATTTAAAGAAGAAACCAATCCGATGTATACACATTTGAGGCTTAATACTATAGAAAAGCACTAAAGGTTTTTCAGCTTGTTTATTTTCATATAAAAATACGGCATGCAGTTGCATCAAACTATGATATAAACATCATTCAATGTAAATTGTGATAATCGTAATTAATAATCGCAATTACAATTTCAAGGGAATAATCGACAATTATGATTTTGGTCATAATCGTGCAGCCCTACCTGGCACATGTAACGTTTCAGCATTTACAGTATTTAATATTCCAGTATTTAATCAAAAGATTTCTCCATATATACATTCATAGAGGCTGGATTGGCCCTGAATATAGAAACCAAAATGTGTAGAAATCTTATGGGTAAAGCTGGCAGACCACCGTAGACCAGCAAAAAAATCAACTACCATATTCCAAAAAGCTGCCAAGACCTGGTTTTTCTAGCATGGTGAGAATTGGCTTGGAGAATCAAATAAGTGAAGCTGTCCCGGTTCTCTACGAGACGCTCACTGAGAGAGTGTGAAGTGGCCGAGATCATGTTTTCTGTCGACACACTCCTGCTGAATAAAAAATTTACTTTTCAATACCGACCAGATACAATACTGATTTTGATAAATATATATATATATAATTTTTTTACAGCTTTATTTCAATTACCGGAAACAGTTTTTAATAGTTTTAGTTTAACACTTACGTATTATTGTTTATACTATGTACTATTATAGTATTTATTAATGTATTATTATTATTATTGTTATTATTTATAATATTATATTTAATATTACTATAATTCAACTTAATTTTAGTTAGATGTCAATGCAACATTTCTATTTATTTTATTTAGATTTTTCATCTAAAATTTACATTTTATTTTATTTTCTACCAGCTGTCTTTCATTTATCGAAAACTATTTTTAATAGTTTTAGTTTTGTTTTTAGTTAACAAAAACGATACTTATTATTATAGTTATGCTATATACTATTATAGTATTTATTAATAGTTTTTTCTTCTTCGTCTACTTATTATTATTATTATTATTATAGTATACTTAATGCTTTATTTCATTTACTGTATATGCCAAGGCAACATTTAAATTGTTTTTCTAGGGGTTTTTTTTTTTCATCTAATGTTTTTCATCTAATATTTATATTTTAGTTTTTTTTATATTTTAATATTTTATTCCAGAATTATTTCAATTACCATGTAAAAAAAACTAGCAAAAAAGGGTTTTAGTGAACAATAACAACACTGGCTGAAGCATTAGTGTGTGCAATTCATTCTGTTTGTTCCCTTTCAGTCAGTCACGTTCTACGTTACGTCAGTCGTGACTGACGAATTGGGATCTCGCCCGAGAGCCCAATCTTTACACTCGAAGGTGATTGGGCTCTCGGGCGAGATCCCAATTCGTCAGTCACGACTGACGTAACGTCTCCGTTCCCTCCTTCAGGGAACGAGGGTTACACAAGTAACCGAGACGTTTCTTGTTCCCCAATAGTGTCTGCCCAGTTTTGGACCGTACCTGCAGGAAAAGAAGGAAGCGATTGCGAACCACAAAAAGAAACTGAGAGACTTCACTGACAACACTGTTTCCACCCAAGGAATGAGAGTTTACACTCCCAAGGGTCCTGTGCCACGAGTTAAAGTAGGTTTTCTTATATTATGCACTTTCTTACGTATCATTAAAGCTCAGAAACTATTTTTCTCCTGAAGAACTTTTACCTTTGGTCTGAAGTTCCAATATATTTGTGTTTTTTATGCTCAGGATGTGATAGCCAAAGCTCTGAAACACATCGGCGCCTATCAAGAGCTCAATATTGAGGAGCAAGTGCAAGCTCTGATCGATCCGGAGATGTGCGTTAACTGCGGGAAGTGTTACATGACCTGTAACGACGCTGGATACCAGGTGCGTACCTCCCTCTGTCTGCCCACCCGCACAGAGACACGCGTACACTGTTTGTTCCCACACAAACCCATAGCTCCTAGCCTCTGGCTGTTCAATTACAGCTCCTGGCCTCTCCAGGGCTCAAAGACTTCAGCTAGTAGCTTTATAAACCATTTCCAGCTCTCAACAACCAGCAGTTTTCAGCTTTAGCTAACAGAGTAAGGTTCACATTAGTAAAAACAATAAAAATATGTCATAGAGCAGGCAAAAATGTAGCCTAGCAGTTAGCATACATGCTTAGCATTCTGTATTACTTCAAAAAGCGAAGTTAATACTAAAAATGCTATACCAAGTACTAAACTAAAACCAATATACTAATATTTAAGGTTCTACCCTGACATACATGTACATAAAAAGTGCCAAAAAAGCGAAAAAATAAATAAATAAACAAGTGCAAGTGCTGCTATAGCACCTCTTACTGGCAGACTAAAGATGTCTCATTAGCGCACCTGATTTTCCCTTTAGAGACTCTAATGAATATTAACACTGAAAACTGCGATGTCCCCTTGTGCTTCAGCCTGCAGAAGAACGGCAAGTAGGATGGCTCTGACAGTTTTATTAAAGTATTCATCTCACCCTCTCCTGTTAAATAAATGTCCCTTGCAATTTATCATAAGGGTATTGATGAAGTAGAGTGCGGGTTTTATCAAAGCAGTAATTGTTCACAGTGACGCTCATTGTCTGTGAGTGGATCTCTAAGAGGAATTACACATTATTAATGCTTTCTAATATAGAGGAGCATTCATCAGCATAATGTGTCACGATCAAATAGGTGGCCCATCAAGCAATACAAAACAGCACTCTGTCGCGCTAGCGGCAATCCGGTTATGTTTGAAAAGCTGCCCGTACTCACTTTCAACTGCCAAAATAATGTCTAATCTTCCTGCCGTACAAACACAAAATTTTACTGATTGTTTTTAACAGTCTAATATAACGGTTAGATTGATGGGCGTTCCTTCCTCTTCTCTGTAGTGTATTCACATAAAAAATTATATGTTGCATAAAGAAAGTGAAGCCTAATTTTAGGCCCATTTAAGATTTTTCATTTTGTGACATTTTTATGACAACTACACAAATTTCCCTCTCAAATTCTCTTTAACTTTGCAATAACTTTGAGTTTAATTCAAATTAAAGATATTTTGCTTTACATTTTTATTACAGTGATTTTGTATTTTATCAAGTAATAATAATAATAATAATAATAATAATTATTATTATTCATTATCCACATTTTAAAACTTGCATTAACTTTAAGGTTTTTTTTATTAGATTTGAACTTTTATAAGATCATTTGCTTTACATTTTCATTATTTTAATACAGTAATTTTGTACTTTATTACAGTAAAATAATAATTATTATTATTATTATTTTATATATAATTTATTAATCATGTTTAAACTAGTTAAAATAAAATAAACGGTAGATACTACAAATATTATCATGATTTATACATTTAAATAATATATAATATTTGCAATTTTTTGTATTTTTGCAATGTTTATATTTTTGTCATTTTTTTTTATATTATAAAATAATATCATTATATTATTAAAATGACTAAAAAGATACTAAAAATACTGCCATGATGAATAAATAAAATGTAAATGCATCATTGTTTTTTTTGTTTTTTTTTGCATTACGATAATGATCATTTGGGCTAATTAAGTGAATTGTAAATGTCACAATACAAAACACCCCAAAATGGCAAATATAATTTTTCTTATTTTGATTTTGTGAAATGTGTGAAATATGACCCACATGACATGTTCCTGACAGGTTTCATACATCTGTGTGGTTCGGTGGAGGGACAGCACACAGTCTTTGTTGCATTTGTATTGTGTAACGTCCAGCCGTAGCAGGTTGTCGCCTCTGGTGAGGATATAATGATTCTAATGTCTCTGTGTCTGGCAGGCCATTGTGTTTGACCCCGAGACTCATCTCCCCACGATTCAGGACAGCTGCACCGGCTGTACTCTGTGCCTCAGCGTCTGCCCCATCGTCGACTGCATCAAGATGGTTGCCAGGACAACGCCTTACGTGCCAAAGCGAGGCCTCCCTCAAGCCGTGGAGCCCGTGTGCTGAGAGAAATCCCAGACAAAAAAAAAGATAAAAATGTCTACATCACAGCAACTAATTTACTTGGTAATTGCAGTGTGAAGAATTAACTTTGTTGTAGAGGGGGGAAAGCAAATAATTAGATTTAAAAAAAATAATAATTGCCTTATTTTCAGGAGCCAATTATCCAGAAATAATCTTAGGGGGTGTAAAGCGTGGTGTTATTTTGAAACAATAGCGAGGCGATTTGTCGAGGTGAAGTTCCTGCCTCTCTTTCTCTGATGGGAATGAATCTGAGCAGAGGGAATAGTGGCTGTTTATGCAGATGTGAGAAGACCGCGCTGTATCCTTTAACAAGAGCCACAATGATGGATCGTCCACTACATCCAGAACAGAATGCAATCACATATACAAGAGCTGCTGATGGGAAATGAGGAAATGAATGGATTTTAATTGAATGGTGGATGGTTGGGCTCGGAATCACACTCGACGTTGTTTTCCATATCATATGATGATTAGAAAAGGGTTGTTTGATGTTATACATGCTGTATTGTATCCAAAAAGCCAGTATACTTCTAAAACTAAACCTAAAGTATTAGTTACCCACTCTTATTTCTAATTGACATTAATTGTATTTATTTCCCTCTAAGCCTTAATAACAAATATGGTTGATTTTGATTGCATTAGTCATCTGGACAGGGTCATTTAGAGAGCCGGTCTACCTCAGTAATATGCTGAACATTTTGAGTAAAGGTCATCTATGACTATTTCCAGACATTAGAGATGAAGACTAGCTGTTATTCATCTTGGACCTAAAAGGTCAAGTCTGACCACCTCTATCTCAACAAATACACGGCCCATCCATACCGCACATACAAGCCCCTAGCTTGCTCTCTGTGATACAGTCAAACACAGTGATGGGCCGTCAGGATAACTGTGCACTTGTCCTCAACAATGATGAATAAATCTCACAAAGAAATGTCTTGGTCATATCTCAGCCCAAAATCAAAAGAAAACATACAATTTAAGCCCCTTACATGATAAAAATTCCCAAATTCTTACTAAAAAACAGTCATTTAATAATTGGCCTCAATTTCTTTTTTGCTGTTTATTTAAAGCAGCATTAATTGTAAAAATGTATACAAATAATATTATACTTACTTAAATAACTATATATTAATACAGTTTTCATGTTAAAGTAATGATCATTAAAGAGAAAATATGCTTATTTGTCCAAATAATGAAAATAATGTCACAATCAAAACTATTTCAGGTTTTACTTTAATTTTTTTAATCTCAAGTCATACTTTACCTAAAAAAAAAAAAGAAAAAGAAAAAAAAATATATATATAAAAAATCACATATGTGACCCTAGACCACAAAACCAGTCATAAGGGTCAATTTTTTGAAATTGAGATTTATACATCATCTGAAAGCTGAATAAATAAGCTTTCCATTGATGTATGGTTTATTAGGATCGGACAATATTTGGCCGAGATACAACTATTTGAAAATCTGGAATCTGAGGGTGCAAAAAAATCTAAATATTGAGAAAATCATCTTTAAAGTTGTCCAAATGAAGTTCTTAGCAATGCATATTACTAATCAAAAATTACGTTTTGATATATTTACAGTAGGAAATTTACAAAATATCTTCATGGAACTTGATCTTTACTTAATATCCTAATGATTTTTGGCATAAAAGAAAAATGGATAATTTTGACCCATACAATGTTTTTTTGACTATTGCTACAAATATACCCCAGCGACTTGAGACTGCTTTTGTGATCCAGGGTCACATATTAAGAAATTACATTCAGATTCGTATGTTTCACACAGCTGTAACACTATCTAATTTTTTGCCTAATAATTTACTTATCTGTAAGACTACTTATAGTAATATGTACTTATCTGTAATTGCACACTTGTGGACTTGCATATTAATAAAAAGTCTTGTTGTCAATCTTATTTGATTAGCACTATTGTAAGCAATTCCCTTATGTACTGTATTAATACTGTAATAACGGTTAGGGTTAATGAGGGCAACCTGCAGATCCACAACACGTGAAAAACATTTGAAGGAGACTGAAATAATTGAGGTCTCACGTGTTCACCTACAAGGGTGGCAGTTCATATTTGTTATGTAGATGTCACGTAGTCTGTTGTTTACAGACGGGTGGAAGCCGAATGCTGCCGGCTGGTTTGATTAGTCGCCGGGCAGATCAGAGACTGCCAATAAATCGGGTTCCATTCTGAAAGCGGGCCCCGAGTCTCGGCTTCAGGGGTTACAGGTTAGTGTAAATGTTTACTTCCTCATTGGCTGGCTGGCGAGATAATTAGAATGACATTTTGCATGGTCGCAGTGCAGGATGCGTGGCGCGCGCCCCTTCTCTGCTTGCGTCGAAGCTCACATCATTAAAAATCAACATGGCATCAATCTCGCACCAGTGGTGTGAACTCGAGGCCAGTGCAAACGATAATCAGTGGCGTATTAAACCGGCGGCGGCACGTGGGGGTGTCCTGACGTGTCTCCTCTGTGGAGATGACGAGGGTGCTGGCCTTAACGCTCTCTTCAGCAGCCAGACATTTCTAAAAAGTATTTTCTGCTTGTTAAAGTACACGCTGAACAACGGCATAATTGTGCTTGTCACAAACAAACGTATTAATCAATGCATTCTGCCGACTACATGAGGACGCGTAACTGCGTGGCCAACTTACCAGGATTCACAGGTGGCCACAGAAATATTGTTTGAAATGTTAAGGTGAATGGAATATTAAACAATTTGAGATTAAAATCGTCTTTGATTGTACCTCCATTAATGTTAATGATGTTCTGAAAAACATTGCTCTTCTTTTCAGGTCACAGCTGTATCCACTCTGTGGCGGGCGAGGGTCATGCAGCTTGAACATGGCTAACCATGAGGTTTTTGTCATGCATGTTTTCCCATTAGCTTAGGCTTTAATTTCAACCCATTGTCTAACGTCTGGATTTGAGCCAAGAGTCAGAGTGGAATTTAAATGATGATCCGCTAGGCTGCTTTTCTAACATTTGAAAGACCCGTGCAGTGCCTGTGTGTGTTAGTATACTGTACTTACGTGCACTTTTTCCCAAAAGTTTGAGATATAGTTCAAAATTAAAAGAAAACATGCAAAATGTTACCTGTTACATTATAACATTTTAATGACAAGTATGCCCAAACAGTGAAAAATATCATTACTATAAAACAGTAACTCAATTTTTTTTTGTTTATTAAAAGCAGCATTAATTAAATGTAATACAAATGCTGTCATTATTTACATATTTTTATATATTAAAATAATGAGAATTACATGGAAAATAAGCTTGATAGTCAAAAAAATTTTGATATCAAACATCTCAGCTCATACTTAATCCCAATAAATATATTCATATATTTTTATTCAGTTTTCCATGACCATTTGACCATCTGACATTTTGAATTAAAGCTCACTCAAAAATGACAATTCTACCATTTGCTCACTTCCATTTCATTTAAATCTTTATGATTTTCTTCTGCAGAACACAAAATAAGATTTTTTTTAAGAAGGTTGGTAAACAAACAGCGTTGGTTACCATTGACTTCCATTGTATGGACAAAAAACACAGTGACATTTCTCAAAATATCTTCTTTTATGTTTCACAGAAGAAATAAAGTCATATAGGTTTGGAACGACATAAAAGTGAGTAAATGATGAGAGAATTTTAATTTTTGGGTGAACTATCCCTTTAAATGAGCTATTTCTGCTGCTGTACCTTTAAGACTATCTCAAGACTATATATATAGGTCATGGGTTTGATTCCTATGAACTGATAAAATGCATACTTTGAAATCAATGTAAATTTGCTTTCGGTGAAAGCATCTGCCAAATGATGTAAATGGAAATTCACTCCATCACCTAAGCAACAAGTATGTTCAAAAAGGTAAATTCAGTGTTATTGTGTCTTCTGTCAGTGTACATTTTAGCAAGAAATGAGGTCTGGTGTTACTGCGGGATCTTGTGCGACGGACTGAAACTTCAGTGGCGGATGTCATTTATCAGGACATCTGTAATAAACCGAAACATTAGCTCAGAGCTTCGTATTTGTTGCCAGCCATCGTTCGATACAATATCTTGCCTCTGTCTTCACTGAGCAGGAGGGGATGTGTGCTGAGAAATCGTTGTGTCTGACATTTGGAACGTCCAGGCTAAAGTGACAAATGAATTAGAGTTCCCAGCACCTTCTCTTCAATGGATTCGAGCGGCCTGCACCTCCCCTAGCTCTAAAAACAGCCACGGATCGCGCCGTCACTGTGAAAAAGAGCTGCCAGAGTCTGGAGCTTCATGGCCGTACCAACAGGACTTGAATGCTGAGGTTATGAAGACTCACGCCACGCTGGCGGGCCATATTGTTGTCTGGACCGTTTTCTGATAGTTAGCTTAGTCAAACAACTGGTTTGGTGTGTTATTGTTGAAGCCGCACAACTGTTCTTTGGCGTTTGCACAGCAGAGTCAGAACGGGAGTTTGACATGCATTGTGAAGCGTCTTTGTGGAGCTGTGCTCGTGCGTGGAGCTGGGGGGGCGGGGGATGCGGTCTGAGAGAAAGAATGCATTTCTAGCTATGCTTCAAAAGGACACGGTCCCCAGAACATTGGTAGTAATAGAGGATCCACTGCACTGTGTAATAATCAATTTGATTTTGTGTGTGTGTGTGTGAACCGAAGCGATCTGAGAGCGGGGTGAACGGCCCAGAGTAAACTCCATATTGTAATTGTGCCAAAGAATTTTCCAAACAAAAACATATATTTTTTTCTGTCTGTTTATCTGTCTGTCTGTCTGTCTGTCTGTCTATCTATCATTTGTCTGTCTATAGCTATCTATCTATCTATCTATCAATTTATCTATCTCTCTGTCTATCTATCTATCTATCATTTGTCTGTCTGTAGCTATCTATCTATCTATCTATCAATTTATCTATCTCTCTGTCTATCTATCTATCTATCTATCTATCTGTCTTGTCTGTCTGTCACTTAAATAGTATGATATTGAAAACCTGATGTGTTACCTGTGCTCTTGGATGTTTCAGTTGTGTGTGTGTGTGTACTTGACTGGTTATGTAAGTCCATTGTGTGTGTGTGTGTGTGTGTG